GCGACTTGGACCGTCGCCGTTCCGAGCCGGGAATTCCGCCTTGACTTGCGGGGCCGGAGGGCGCAGGGGAACGGTATGCAGGGGGCATATGCTGGTGCTGCTGCTGCTGGTCGTGGTAATTATTGAACTGTTTCTGCTCGTCCTGGTATTTCTGCGGCTGCTGCTGCTGCTGACGTGGCCTGTGAAGCGGGGCTACATTTTGCATTCTCGACGTCGCCTCGTCGTCTCTCGAGCCGCTTTGAGCTCCATAATCGTCATTTCTGTTTTCAAACGAGAGCGACGATGCCCTGTCTTTCTGCTGCGGCGCGCCGCTGCCATGGCCTTGAGTGTTACTGTGTCGGTTGCGCGCATAGTGGGAGCCTGGCGACTGAATAGATTCTTCGCTGTGCGACGACGTTTCCTCCTGGATGCTCCAGAACTCCATCCCGCCCGCGCCTTGCGCGGTGCTGCCGCCGCCACCGCCGCCGCCATTTCTACCAGCAGTCCCATTCGGGGCTATTACGAGCGATGGGTCCAGCTGAAACCCGTCGGAATGGCTTCGCCTGTGTCCTGGCTGCTTCATCCGTGAGGGACGCGGCGGCACGGACGACGCGCTCGCCATGGAGTCCGCGCCGCCTGCGAGGGAATATGACGCGGCCGATTCAGAAAGATTATGCAACGACGAAGGCAGGTTGTGAGAAGGCCCGAGCAGTGTCGAGGAGGGCGATTCGAAGTTGAAAGGTGTGCGATGGGTCGAATGGTTTTGGTAGCCATTTTGACTGTTGCTAGGGTTGAAGCTGGGTAGTTGGGGAAAAGACCTGGAATCGTCAACCATCACTTCCATGGGGTGAGAAAACACTGCTCAAGAGGGTGTGAGTGTGGTTACAGATGCGTGCGAGAGGTTTTTCAGAAACGAATGTTGCACGAACAAATAGGAAGGGACGAGGCGAAACGAGATGAGAGTGAGCATTGCACTGTGTCCCCTAAAATACGAAACGTGCTTCCTGAACGTGAGTTGGTTGTGGAACTGTTGGGGCGTCCGTCCGAGCCGAGCGGCCGAACCAGACGTTTCCAGCTCGTTGTTGCCCTTTCGTTTCACCAGCTTTGGTAAATTCCCGCTGGACCAGCTCATTCACTAGTCCCGAAGCTAGAGGTTGGGTTCAAACCAGCTAAGCTCTGGCTGGTGGACGAGGCTTGTGAGCAAGGCTCGGTAGTGCAGATTCAACGCGGTTGGCGCAAGAGGGGCCCTATGGATTTTCAGGATCGCATCAGCCATATCTCATAATTGAGGACAGCCTGAAGCTTGGGAATCCGACGGACTCCCGTAGTTGAAGTCCTAACGCTTAACCAAACAAAACGTCACTTACGCTGTCATATGAGCGAATGGCAACTTGTCGCTTAATCTAATTCACTGCAAATATAATAAACATTAGTGGAAATGCTTGTCTCATTCTCTGGTGGTGCAGGACCAAATCCTTCAAAGCAAACATTTTTGGGTTGCGAAGCAACCCTTACCATCGATTTTGGCAAATTTTATTTTCATGTTTTTCATTTTTAAAAAACCATGAAAATAAAATTTGTTAACTAAACCACTCTTCCCATGCTGTGTGCATGCTGAAAATTTTTTAACGATGTTTATGGTATATTAAACCATATGATTTTTTCTTTGTCATTGATTTTGTGCATTTATGCTGTACTCTTAAATGGTGCCGTGGTAATGATAAATAAATGCATGATGCATAAATAATGCTATATGGTGCATAATGTTTAATACGGTAGTATGATATGTCATGAATCATGATGCACATGCATGCACATGATAAAATGCGTAACAGTTAACGACCCAAAAACTAAGCTACCGCCATCCCCTGCCTAGCATGGGGGGGAGGTCAATAGCATAGATTTTGAATAATCAACTATCACATGAAACAACACCATCTGTCAATCCTAAAAAAATGGTCAACCCTATCAAATCCAGTTCGAAGTGGCAACACACGAGTTACTTTGCGCGCCAATGAACCTCTTGTGAAATGATAGACATAAGCCATCTTTTTAAAATTCACAGGCATGCATTGTTAATGCAATGATGAACATAAAAAATTACACATGCATGCAGAAAATGACACATACGCACACACACACACACGAAGGCAGACTAACGATAATAGAACCGCATACAAATGCACAAACAAAAAAGACAAGTAGGAAGAAATGAAAACAAAAGATGCAAAATTTATGAGCAGCAATCTAAATCAAATTCCACAACCCATCATTTCCCAATCGCTTGGCGCAATCATAAGGTGATTAATCTGGCGTACGCGCAACCTGGTGAAGAAAGAAAACAAGCATCACAAGACGAAGAAAGGAACGAGTAGAAGGGATAAAGAGAGAATATGGTGAAAGAAAATCAACCGAAAGGAAGAAGAAGAGAAAACAACAAGAATGGATTCAAAACAAGGGAGAGAGGACGAGAGAGAGAGGACGAGAGAGAGGGGACGAACGAGAGAACGAACGAGAGAGAGAGAGAGAGAGAGAGAGAGAGAGAGAGAGAGAGAGAGAGAGAGAGAGAGAGAGGGAGAGAGAGAGAGAGAGAGAGAGAGAGAGAGAGAGAGAGAGAGAGAGAGAGAGAGAGAGAGAGAGAGAGAGAGAGAGAGAGAGAGAACGAACGAGAACGAGAACGAGAACGAGAACGAGAGAGATACGAGAGAGGGAGAGAACGAGAGAACGAAAGAGATAGACGGAGAGAGAGAGAACGAGAGAGATAGAACGAGAGAGAAAGACTGTCAGAGAGAGAGAACGAGAGAGAGAGAACGAGAGAGAGAGACCGAGAGAGAGAGAGAGAGAACGAGATTGAGAGAACGAGAGAGAGAGAACGAGGGAACGACAACAATAGAACGAGAACGAGAGAACGAGACAGACAGAGCGGAAAAGAGAGAACGAGAAAGAGAGACGAGAAAGAGAGAACGAGAGAATGAGAACGAGAACGAGAGAAAACGAGAGAACGAGAGACCGAGAACGAGAACGAGAGAACGAGAAGGTCAAGGCATAGGGTAAGTTAGCAGTGCAAGAAAAATGACAACTTCACTCATGCAAAGCTTCACAACCACTGCTACTTCATACATACAGCGACATATATCAATTTTACAACGACTTAACAACTGCGTGCCAATTTGCTGCAACCAACAGCTAACGGCTAAGAGCTAGGTCGTACGGAATGAACGAACGAAGGAGGATATGAAGACCATGCAAGAGGATGTGAAACCGAAAATTAGAGAAAATAGGATGTGAGATGACGGACTAAAAGAAGAAGAGAAGAGATAAGGAAGAAATACGAACTGGAATATCTAAATAAAAAAACGGAATATGTAAACGGAGAATGCGCAGGACGCTGAGTGTCATCATCGGCATCTAAATCTCCACAAACATCCCTTCGCAACTCTTATGAGCTTAAGAATAGAGGAAGTCAAGCTTACCTAAGAAGCTGTAGATGAGAGTGGCGGCCTCTCCCTTAGCGCGCCTGGCACGAGCAAAAAGTCACCAACGCGCCAAGCACAAGCATAACGATTCCAGCAAGAAGTTACAAGAGGGAAAACAAAAGAGAAACACGGACGGAGAGAAAATGAGAAGAGAGATAACAATAGAGGATGGAGAGAGAAGGAAAGGAGAAAGACATACGGAACCTTGAATATGCAACAAAACAGGAGTAACAACAACAAGGTAGCAAAAACGAAGGCATGATACAAAAAAACGGAAAGGTAGTCTTCACGTAACGAAGACATGATCTCGAGTTAACTTTCTCCTAGTCAACTTAAGTAGAAGTAGGCTAACGATAGTCTTAACAAAATAGCAACACTTGCTATTCCTACTCTTCCAGCTGCTGCTACTCTCTTACCTAGAAACTGGAATAGCGTGACAGACAGGAGTGGTTGGAGAAGAAGCAGAGGAAAGGAAAAAAAGGAATGGGAAAAATCTAACCACCTCATTTGTCGCATTTAAAGTGATAAAAAAACGTATGTTAGTTTTGACGGGTTTAGCACAATGGTTTGAGTTTGGCCTCATAATCAGAAGGGTGCGGGATCAATTCTGGTAGTCGTATTTAACCCCCAGAAAATTCGTTGTTAAAACTCAATGAAATAAGTTCAGTTTTTGAACATCAAATACAACGTATACAACTAGACAAATGGCTTCGCAACCCTAGGTCGACTTAGTCGCCTCTTGTTTTTTTTTCTGAAAGCCAGGCTGTTCCCTGTGGGACATTGGTGAGCGATTTCGTCTTGGATGCAGAGCTCTCGCTGCTGCCCTTCCAGCCCTCACCACAGCACTGCCCTCCAAATTCGCTGCTTCGGTACAACCAATCCGCTAACGTTTGAATGCACGTACATAGCCTGCTGTCGGATTTTGAAGTCGAATGAGCAACAATATGTTTGTGAGATTGAAAATTAGCAAACAGCTAAAGACAATTGCACTTTCTGGTGAGCGTTTTCCGCTAGTGGGTGAGGCTGCTTTCTTAGAAGTTCCGCTATCAGTGTTGTCCATTAGTGGCTGACACAAATTACCATCAGCTACCCTGTCGCACGCCCATCTTTTGAACGTCGCAGATGCAGTCGTTTTCGTCGCTGACCAATACCACGAAGCCAAATGTCGCACAGAGCCCCGCCGGGACCTTGGGAGTGTTACTGACCGTCTCTAGTTCTCTTGGGTTCCGCAAATCAAGCAAACCGCCGGAAACTTTGCGAGCGGCACCAGGCAAGAGGTATGCTGCAGGAAGATCTCCTCGGGTTCTTATTGGTCGGTTCCAGGCCAGTATCGCGCAGAATGCGGAGACAGGTTTTAGTGAGCAACTAGCGGGTAGCGCGATCGGGGACAGGGGGAGAAGGCGGAAAGAACGGCGGAGCAGCAGCAGCAGCACCGGAGGAAGCGGCAACGGGGATGGTGGGGGTGGTGGCAGCAGCCGCAGCAGCAGCAGTCGCAAGAGCAAGGCGGCAAGACGCCAAAAACCGCTTGATCACAGTGACGTCAGCATGCCGCCCAGCAATGACGACTTGCGCAGCTGGGCGGCGCTGGAAGGCAAGCGGCTGATGAACGTCCTATCGTATCGCGCCACGTTGGCAGAACTACTGGCCGTGGTGAAAGCACACAGAGAGAATGGGGAGGAGATGAGAGGGAGAGTGGGAGGCGGTGTGCGGGAGGATAGAAGAGGGGAGGAGAGATGGGGAGAGGGGAAAGAAGGAGGGGAGGGAAGGGAAGAGGAGAGTGTGGGGGAGGGTAAAGTGGGGGAGGGTGGAGGGGGAGAGGATAGAGGGGAGGAGGGAAATGTCTCTTCTAAGCGAGTGAAGGGCCAAAAGGATGGGAAGGCAAGCACCGGTTTGTCCCCTGTACACATCTGCACCGCATTCCACCGCATTGCCAAGCATGCCAAGCGCATGGGGGGCAGACGGCGTCTCGTGGACCGGCTCAAAGAGGACGAAACGGTTCGGTGGCTCGGGCGGCAGGTGGAGGCGCTGGCAAAGGGCGGCAGACTCAAGGGCCAGGCTTTGGCCAACGTGGCATGGTGAGTGCGTGTGGGTGGGTGGGATGGTGGCGGGCGGGTGGGCTGGTGACTGGATGGTTAGGTGCGTGGTGGGTGGTGGTCGTGGGTTCAGTTCAGGCATGAGCGGTAGTCTCATGCGTGCGTGTAACATGTATGTTGCATCTTCCATTTATCTTCCATCACTGATGGGTGGCAAAGCTCGGGGTTCAGGGTTTAGGTTTTTTGGGAGGTTTGATTTAGTTTGGAACATCTGGCCTTTTTTACCCCCGTTGAACTCATTGACCACTGTTGAGACATCTCAAAAGGGTTTGGGTTTTTTGGAGGTTTGAGTTTAGAACATTTGACCTCCATTTGACGCCTGTTGACCCTGTTGACTCCCTGGAGACGACTTTTGAGGCGCCTCAAATGACGTTCGATCTATTTGACCCCTGTTGACCCCCGTTGACCCCTGTTGACCCCTGTTGACCTTCTCTCAGGGCACAGGCAGAGCTGGGGCACGGTCCACCATCGTTGCTCAACACTGTCATGGCAGCATCGCTCGCGCAGATCAAATCCTTCCAGCCGCTGGAAGTGGCCATTCTGGTACGTGTGGATTTCTGTCTCTGTGTGCATTTGTCTCCAGCATATTTGTATATGTAAACGTATACTTATGCATGTATGTATATATATGATGTTGATGCATACATACATGTATACATACATAAGTACATGTATACTTATTTGCATACACTTGTCAACAACTCTTTGTCCCCTCCCACCGTTTGATGCATGCCCTAGGCTCCACTGCCGGCCTGCCAGCTGTCAACGCCAGCCTGTCAGCCTGTCAGACTCTCACCTGAGAATCTTTCAAGTGGTTATCAACACCCCTGTTCCTCCTCCCCTTTCAGATGCATGCACTAGGTTCCACCGCCGGCCTGCCAGCTGTCAACGCCAGCCTGGCGCGGGACCTGCTTGGGCGGCTGATGTGGGAGCACGTGATTGGCTCGCTGCACTGCTTCCAGCCGCGCCATGTTAAGGAGATCCTGTGGTACTGTTCACACTGCACTGTTTCACGTACTACTGTTTCTCATAATACTGTTCACACTGCACTGCTTCACATGACACTGTTCATATTGCACCGGAAGTGGGTGATAGCTGTTTGCACTGCTACCAGTAACCAGACACCTTCCACCTCCCCCTATGGCATCGCAGGGCCCACGCGCGGGTGAGGTGGCACTCACACCAGCTCTTCTGCACCCATACCCGCTCCTTTTCCCCTGCTCTTTCCCCCCTCCCACCCCCTCTCCACCTTCTCCCCCCATGGTATCATCCCAGGGCCCACGCGCGGCTGAGGTGGCACTCGCACCAGATCTTCTGCACCCATACCTGCTCCTCCCCCTTCGACCTGGTTTTTGAGAATTCTCAAAAACCAGCTCGTTGCACTCGCACCTGCTCTTCGGCACCGTGCCCGCTCCTCACCCTTCGATCGACCCCACAAACCCCCCTCCCCCCACACCCTCCCCCCCGCACCCCCTTCCCCCATGCCATTGCAGGGCCCACGCGCGGGTGGGACTGCTGCACTCACACCTGCGCTCCGTGCCCACCCGTACCGCCCCTTCTTCCCTCAAACCCCTCCCCACCGCACCCCCTTTCGCTCTTTACCGAAACTCCTCCCCACTGCGGCCCCTTCCCCTCTTCCCACTCCATTGCAGGGCCCACGCGCGGGTGGGGCTGCACTCGCACCTGCTCTTCCGCGAGGCGGCAAAGCTTGTCCTTTCTGACATGAGCAGCTACAGTGCTCCGCAGCTCGCCATTATCGCATGGTACAGCATGGCCTGGCATGATGTGGTATGTTGTGGCATGATGCGCAACATGATGTGGCATGGTGTGACATGGTGTGATGTGTGACATGGTGTGACATGGTGTGACATGGTGTGATGTGTGACATGGTGTGGCATGGTGCGGCATGGTGTGGCACGGTGTCGCATGGTCAATGAGTCATGTGCCTCCATGTGTATCAGTCAATCCATTTCTTCTCAGCCTTTGCATTTGCTCATTCCTATGCCTCACCTCCCCACTTCCCCTCGTCCCCTCTTCTTCTCTCTCCCCTCTCCCATTCTCGCAGGTCCTTTGCCAAGCTCCACCATTCAGACGACTCTCTCTTTTGTGCACTTGCTGCCTGGGCCGAGAGCAACGCTCCTGCATTCGCGTCTCAAGACACCTCCAACATGCTCTGGTGAGCCGCCCTCTCTTCGTCTAGTGTGCTGCCCTCTCTCCCTCGTCTCACCCTTTGCTCGTGTAAGCAGAGAGCAACGCGCCAGCGTTCTCAAGACACCTCCAACATGCTCTGGTAAGTGTGTCCGCCTCTCTCCCCCCTCTCAGCCCTGGCTGCCTGGGCCGAGAGCAACGCTCCTGCGTTCGCATCTCAAGACACCTCCAACATGCTCTGGTAAGTGTCTCCGCCTCTCTCCCCCCTCTCAGCCCTTGCTGCCTGGCCCGAGAGCAACGCGCCTGCGTTCGCGTCTCAAGACATCTCCAACATGCTCTGGTTAGCTTTCCTCTCTTCTTCGCATGACCTGTGAGCCACCCTCTCCGCTTCTCAACGAGTTTTCCAAGCTGCATCATTCAGAAAATCCTTTCTTCTGTCCGTGCGCTGGCTTGCTAGGCTTAGGCAGAAACGCTTCTGCATTCACATCTCAAGACAACTCCATGGTTCTCTGCTCTGCTGAGCCGCCCTCTGTAGACTAATCTAGATCAGGTCACATTCTCTAATCTAGTGATCTGCCTACTCTTCTTCTCGCCCTTTGCTCTCTGTTCTGTGCAGTGCACAATACACCTGACTCTCCTCTCCTCCGCCCCTCTCCCTTTGTTCAAATTCCCCCGACCTGCTCAGGGCAACTGCTCCTCTCAGGACATTCCAAACGTGTTTGCACTCTTTGTGCCGCGTGTAGTTAGATGCTCCCCCCCCCCCCCCATCTCCCCACTCTCCCACTCCCAACCCCCCTCGCTCCTCTCCCCTCTCTCGTTCCCTCTCTCCCCATCCCCATCGCCCTCTCTCAGGGCATTTGCTCGTCTCAACGTGAATTGAGAAGTCTCAAAACACTTCTGTAATCAACTCCCACTCTAAATCCCTCTCGCTCCTCTCCCCTCTCTCGTTCCCTCTCTCCCCATCCCCATCGCCCTCTCTCAGGGAATCTGTTCGTCTCAACGTGAACTCCCCAAACATATTCGGGGTTCAGGGTTTACGGTTTAGGGTTTAGGGTCATAAGACCCTCCCTCACCCCCTCTCCCTCCTATATTTCCCTCACCCCTTCACTTCCCCGTTACCCACTCAGGGCATTTGTGCGCCTCAATGTGAATGCTCCAAGCGTGTTTGCACTCTTTGTACCACGAGTGATCGGATCGATACAAGAACACTCTACGCAGTCACTCTCCAACATCGCATGGTACCAGTATTGCGTTGTACAGTATTATGTTATTGTTCTGCGTACAGTAGTATATGGATAGAATTGGTTTGGTTCTATTATATAAGAATATTGCATAGGTTTGGTTCATGTCGATGCTGCATCGTACACTACTCTTTTTTTTTTCCTGGTCAAGGACTGTGCTATTGCTTTCCTTTCCCATCCTATACACCCCACTCCATAGGGCCTATGCCACAGCAGGGCATCGCAGGCATCAGCTGCTAGAGACAGTGGGGGAGGAGAGCACGAGGTTATGAGTGGGTGCACCTCACTAGACCAATTCAATGTCTTATCCCGTTATCCCATGCCTCACTGAACCTTCTTTTCAGGGCCTATGCCACAGCAGGGCATCGCAGGCATCAGCTGCTAGAGGCAGGGAGGAGAGCACGAGGTGAATCATGTGTGTGTGCGTGCTGCACCTAGAAAAGCACTCCTTCATTTACCTTTTCCCCCTCTCTTAACAGGGCATACGCCACAGCAGCAGGCCGCCAAAACCAGCTGCTGCTAAAGGCTGTGGTTGAGGAGAGCACGCGGCAAATCGTGAGTGCACCGCACCTTACCACACAACTTGTTCCTCCCTTTCCCCATCCCGTCCTCCCAACCGGGGCGTACGCCACAGCTGGCCACCGCAACCAGCCGCTGCTAAAGGCTGTGGGGGAGGAGAGCAACTTTTTGAGTCGACTAAAAAATCGACTCATCACCGCAACCAACCGCTGCTAAAGGCTGTGGGGGAGCAACCAGCTGCTGCTAAAGGCTGTGGGGGAGCAACCAGCTGCTGCTAAAGGCTGTGGGGGAGCAACCAGCTGCTGCTAAAGGCTGTGGGGGAGCAACCAGCCGCTGCTAAAGGCTGTTGGGGAGCAACCAGCCGCCAGAGCAACGCTCACCGCACCTCAAACGATCTCACCCCTTCTTCCCTTCCCTCCCCCAATCAGGGCGTACGTCACAGCAGGCCACCGCAACCAGCAGCTGCTAGAGGGGGCAGTGGGGGAAGAGAGCACGCGACGAATGGACCATCACACCCCATTTTCCTCCCCCATCCCCTCTTTTTCCCTTGCCTTTGCCCCTCCTCCAATCAGGGCGTACGCCACAGCAGGCCACCGCAGCCAGCAACTATTAGAGGCATTGGGGGAGGAGAGCACGCGGCGAATTGTGGGCGGTACACTGGAGAGGGAGGCTGTATCTGGGCAGGCTGTTGCCAACATCGCGTGGTACGGTGCGGTGCTGTGCGGTGCTGCATGGCGTGGTGGAGTATGGTCCTGTCCTGTGCTTGTGTGTGGTACGGTGCTGTGTGGGGTGGATGGTGGGTTTAGAGGCAGTGGGGGCGGAGAGCATTAGGCAATTCGTGGGCAGCAAACTGGAGAGGGAGGCTGTGTCTGGGCAGGCTGTTGCCAACATAGCATGGTACAGTGCGGTGCTGTGAGGTGTGCTGTGCTGCATCTGTTGCCAACATTGCATGGGAATTGTCCACCACTGGTGGCAGCACAGCACAGCAGCAGCACAACTTCTTTCTCCGTCCGTGCATGTTCTCTTCTTAACTTCCCAAAGCTGAGCTCAGCTCAGCTTAGAGGAGAATAGGGCGAGATAGGACCGTTGGATCCAAGTCGAAATTATTCTTTTATGCTTTCTCCGTCTGTGCATGTTCTCTTCTTAACTTCCCATTTCACCCGCCCATCCCTCTGCTTCCTCTCAAGGTGGATGATGAGTCGACTCAAAATCACCCCATTTCACCACCCCCCACCCCTTCGCTCTCCTCCCTCTTCCTTCTGCTCCCTCTGCTCCTGCTCCTGCTCCTTATCTCTTTCTCCCCCTCCCCTTCCTTCTCCCCATTCACAACTGTTTCTCTCAGAGCATTCGCAACACAGAGTCACGACGACGTCCCTTTTTTCCAACAACCCGTCTCAACACTATCCACGTTTCTCTCTTCTCTACTGCCCCCTCCCTCCCCCTCCCTCCCCCTCCCTCCCCCTCCCTCCCCCTCCCTCCCCCTCCCCTCCCCCCGCCCCTGCCTTCCTGAACCTCTCCCACAGGGCATTAGCAACGCAGAGTCACTACGATGTCCTTTTTTTGAAGAATTCTTATCACTCTCTCATACCGTTCTCCACGTTTCTCTCTTTCCTACTCTCCCTTCTCCACCCCTCCCCCTCCTCTTCCTCCCCAATTTTCTCCCCTCAGGGCATTAGCAACGCAGAGTCACTACGACGTCCCCTTTTTCTCCGCCGCTGCTGCCCACGCCACCCGCTACATACCAAGATACGCCGGCCGCACCATTGCCTGCCTGGCGTTTGCCTTTGCTCTGATTGGCCACACCGCCCCTCCTCTCTTCCTGCGTGTTGAGTCTGAGGTGGGTGGTGGTTTTTCCCCTGCTCTGGGCGGCTGTGGTTTGGTGCCCTGCTTGTCTCTGCTGCTCTACTGGTCCGTGCAATGAGGCACTTGGTAAGAGACCTTGAGGAGGGCCTACGTATCCGCCAACCTCTCTTGCTCCGCCCCTCTGGCCTGCTCTGGGCTGCTGTGCTCTGATGCCCTGCTTCACTCTGTTGCTCTACTGGCGTTACTTTTGAGAATTCTCAGAAGTAATACCACCATATCTGGTGACCTGCTTCTCTCTGCCCCACTGTGCCCTGCAGTTGTTTACTTGGTAAGAGACCTAGAGGCGCACCTGCGTATCCGCCAATCTCCCTTGCTCCGCCCCTCCCACCAATTCACTGCCACTGATCTCTCATGCTCCCTCTCATGCTCCCTCTCATGCTCCCTCTCATGCTCCCTCTCATGCTCCCTCTCATGCTCCCTCTCCTCTCCTCTCCTCTCCTCTCCTCTTCTCTTCTCTCCTCTCCTCTCCTCTTCTCTCCTCTCCTCTCCTCTCTTCTCTCCTCTCCTCTCCTCTTCTCTTCTCTCCTCTCCTCTCCTCTCCTCTCCTCTCCTCCCCTCCCCTCTCCTCTCCTCTCCTCTCCTCTCCTCTCCGTTATTCACATCCATCCCCCCTCCTCTCCTCTCTCCCCTTATTCAGATCATCCGTCGACTATCACTGCGGTCAGGAGAACAGGAGTTTGGGCGCCAGGCACTGGTGATGCTCGCATGGGCTCTCGTGGTGCATGGCCAAACCGACACACCCTCTGCTGCTCCTGCTCCGCCTGCCGCCGCTGCTCCTTCTGCTGCTGCTCCCAGCACCAGCATCACCACCATCAACTCCCCATCCTCTCTCCCCTCCTCTCCCTCCTCCTCTGCCTCTCTCAGCCCAGCTCTCCCCATCCTGCGGCACCACCTGCTCTCCCTCACCACCGACCTCACCTCCTCTGAGCTCTGCCAGCTGTATCAGGTGGGGAACAAGCACGTGCGCTGAACCAGGTGGGCTGTGGCACACGCACATATCATCGCTCTCTCCCCATCCTGCGTCACCACCTGCTCTCTCTCACCAGCGACCTCACCTCTAATGAGCTCTGCCAGCTGTACCAGGTGGGGTTAAAGCACACACATGCACACATACGGTATCACGGGCGTGCCTGTCACACGCGCACATGACCTCTCCTGCTCCCTCTCCAGCGAGCACACGCCCACATGACCTCACCTCACATCCAGGTGGGCTGTAGCAGGTGGGCTGTAGCAGGTGGGCTGTACCAGGTGGGCTCATTTGGATCTCACTCCCCCCCCCCGCTCGCCCACTCCCTTGAGACAGGTCGACCTGGCCACGCAGCTGGAAGCACCGGAGCACAGCACTCGCCTGGTGGAGGGCGGCATGGGCGTTAGGGGGCACGCTGGGAGGAGTGCTCTCCCCAGCATTGCCCCCTCTCCCTCCCTGTCTCCTTCCCTCCCTTGATGTAGGTCAATCTAGCCACCCAGCTGGAAGCACCGGAGCACAGCACTCGCCTGGTGGCGGGCGGCATGGGCGGCATGGGGCAGGCTGGGAGGAGCACGAGTGGCAGTGGGAGCGGTGCTCTCCTCTCCCCTTTTTCTCTCCTGCCATGAGCCTGTTGCCCTCCCTCCCTCCCTCCCTCCCTCCCTCCCTCCTTCCCTCCCTCCCAGGTCGACCTACCCACCCAGCTAGAGGCACCGGAGCACAACACTCGCCTGGTGGAGGGCGGCATGGGCGCCATGAGGGATGGGAGGGAGGTGGTGTTCTTTCTGCTTCCCTCCTTCCTGCCTCACTCCCTCCCTCCCTCACTCCCGCTCTTCCGCAGGTCGACCTGGCCACCCAGCTGGAAGCACCGGAGCACAACACTCGCCTGGTGGAGGGCGGGATGGGCGCCATGAGGGATGGGAGGGGGGTGGTGTTCTTTCTGCTGCCTCACTCCCTCCCGCCCTCACTCCCGCTCTTTCGCAGGTTGACCTGGCCACCCAGCTGGAAGCACCGGAGCACAACACGCACCTGGTGGAGGGCGGGATGGGCGTTATGGGGCACGCTCCGAGGAGCACGAGTAGCAGTGGGAGCGAGGGGGATGGGGAGTGGAGGGAGCAGGAGCAGGGGCAGCAGCAGGGGCAGTTGGAACAGGGAGAGCAGCAGCAGCAGCAGGAAGAAGAAGAGGAGGAGGAGATGGACGAGTCGTATTGGTATTTGCAGCACTTATGGCTGTCGGGGTTTGTGCGACAACAGGCTAAGGTGAGGCGAGCAAGGGCGGTTGGAGGGTTAGTGAGGTGCTGGGAAGGCAGCAGCCGTTTGAAAACGTGTTAGGAGGAGGAGAGGGACGAGTCGTATTGGTATTTGTAGCACTTGTGGCTGTTGGGATTTGTGCGGCAACAGGCGAAGGTGGGGCGATGTGAGTGGGGCTGTTCTTAATTTGAGACGTCTCAAAATATCACTTTTAACATGTGGCTGTTCTTAAACATTATTTTAGATAAGGTGACTTCACATTTATTCCAGATGCACCGAAACTCAAACCAACCCCCCGCACACCTTCATTCTTGGGTGCTTCTCCCACCACAGGCGTGCTAAGAGGCGGCTCACGAGGAGGAGAAGGTACAGGTGATGTCCATCTGGTGTGGGCTTCAACGGGGCATCAGCTGTGCCCTGCACCACATGCACCTCCCAACATCAATCCCCCCCGCACCCTTATGTGTGTATACCTACTGCAGGCGTGCTGGGAAGCAGCCCACAAGGCAGAGAAGCTCCAGGTTTCAGGGCTTCAGAGAGACATCAGCTGCGCCCTGCACCAGATGCACCTCCCCCACACCCTCGAGTACCGAGACGGCGACTACAGCATCGACCTCGCCCTCCTCCTGCCTCTCGCCGCAACAGAATCTACGGGGAGTGACTCTACGCGGAGTGATTATAGGAGAATGGAACGCCGTGTTCTCAAGATAGCAGTGGAGGCTGACGGGCCGTCACACTTCACTATAAGCACGTCTGGAATGACAACTGAGCAGCAGCATCAGCAGCACTCTCAGCAGCACCCCCATCAGCACAATCAGCAGCAGCAGCATGTGCCGCTGGGTCCCACTCGCCTCAAGGCCAGGCTGCTGCGCTGCCGAGGCTGGCAGGTGGTTCAGGTGAGTCCCTCTGTCGGCTTCAGGTGCTTCAGGTGAGTCCCTCTGTGGGCTTCAGGTGGCTCAGATGTCTTTTGGTGCCAGGTGGTTCAGGTGAGTTCTCAGGGTGTAGGATAAAAGTATTATATGTTAATATCAAAATATATGAAAATCGGGCCTTTCTCTCTCATCCCTTCTCCTGCTCCTCTCCTGCTCCTCTCCTTTTGCCTTAATTTGAGATGCCTTTTTTTACTGAGCGAGTTTAAGTTCAATCGAATCTCCTACTTCCCTCCACCGCTCCCCACCGCCGCAGATACCTTTCTTTGAATGGGAGTGCCTGTCGGACCTCCACCAGAAGCAGCAGAGTCTTTAGTCGACTCAAACGTCTCCTACCTCCCTCCACCACTCTCCACCGCAGATACCTTTCTTTGAGTGGGAGTGCCTGTCGGACCTCCACCAGAAGCAGACATATCTCGCCGCCCGTCTCGGGCCTCTGGCCATGCAGCTGGCGCGTGCAGCAGCAGCAGCGGATGCTGACGTGGCACTGGAACAGGCTGGTGGGACTGGGGAAGGTAGAACTGCGGAGCGTAGAATTGAGGAGGGTGGATGTGGGGAGGGTAGAACTGGGGAGGGTAGAACTGGGGAGGGTAGAACTGGGGAGGGTAAAACTGGGGAGGGTAGAACTAGGGAGGATGAGACTGGGCTGAGTGACAAACAGCAAGAGGAAGTGGGATTGAAGGAGGGGCGAGTGGCAGAAGAGGCGGAGCAGGTTGGGGGAGGGGAATTTAAGCCTAGGGATGGAGAAGGGAAGGAGGTGGACGAGAAAGTGAAGGAGGGGGAGGAGGGAGCACAGAGGAGGGAGGGAGGGGATGTCATTCCTGAGAAGTCTCAAAAGGAAGGGGAGGAGGAAGATGAGGAGAGGAGGAAGGGAGGGGATGTGTTGAAGCGAGCAGAGGTGCTGGGTGCGTGGAAGGCGGGGCAGGGCAAGGGAGGGCTGGGGGCTGACAGGCTGGCACTTCTGAGAAAGGCTGCTGTGAGGAGAGGGCTAACACAGAAGTAGAGGGAAAGAGTGAAGGCAGGAAGCAGCAGGCAAGGCAGGTGCCAACAGAGACGAAGGCAAGGCAGGGTTGGGCAGGGCTAAGGAGGGCTGGGGGGGGCTAAGGAGGGCTGGGGGGGCTAAGGAGGGCTGGGGGGGCTAAGGAGGGCTGGGGGGGCTAAGGAGGGCTGGGGGGGCTAAGGAGGGCTGGGGGGGCTAAGGAGGGCTGGGGGCTGACAGGGTGGATCAGCTTAGAAAGGCTGCTGTGAGGAGAGGGCTGTCACAGCAGCAGAGGGCGAGATATTGCACAGGATTGGACGATTGCGCAGTGACATAATCCCACAGTACCGTGATCTGATTGCACAGGTTATCAGTGTGCAGGTGAGGCGTACGTGAACGTTTCTAACAAAGGCTTGTTGCACAAGAAAAGAAGTCATGCATTGGATTCAAGTAATGTTGCTCGTACAGGAGGATTGGCACATAAGCTGAGTAGGATGGGCTATTCCCATATGTTACATTGATGAATAACCTAGCCACCTATCATTCACCCAATATTATACATTGCTAGCTCCAGCAACCTTGCAGCAGCGCAGTCCTAAACCCACCCCCCTACCCACCCCTCTCTCCTCCCATTTCCCCTCTCAGCTTCCTAGAATCCATGCAAACACAAAATTAAAAGACTACAAGATACCATCCACAATATTGTACACTGCTAGCTTCTGCCACGTGTCAGCCCCTAATAGGGCCTCCCCTCCTATAGAGTACGCTAGTGACCAGCAGGCAAGGAGGGAGAAGGCAACACTGCAGCCAATGGCTGATCCCACCACGTCTGCGAGTAAATGCGAGAAAGGGGAGATGGGCAGGAGGAAATGAGGGAAAGTGGGGAAAATGGGAGGGTTTGAGGGGTAAGAATCGGGGGAAGAGGCAAGGAGGGAGAAGGCAACACTGCAGCCAATGGCAGAATGGCGGAAGATGGGGGGAGAGAAGGAAAGAAAACGGGGGAGAACGAGAGGATGGAAAGGAGTGTTTCGGGCGAAGCACGTGTGCCAGAATCAGGGCAAAGTTAGAGGGTAAAAATGAAGGGGGGAGCTGATAGATCATGCTACATCAGTCTCTGTCAGATTTACTCAAAGAGTCACAGCAGGGGGGCGTGGCCGGCGATATAACGAAGCACGGGCCAGAATCTAGGCAGGGTTAGAGGGGGGAAATGAAGGGAAAGGAGGGGCGCAAGCAGATCAAAGAAAAAGATAGACCGTGTTAAATCAATCTCTGTCAGATACACTCACAGGATCGCAGCAGGGGGTCGTGGCCGGCGTTATAACGAAGCACGGGCCAGAAGAAGTAGCAGTTAACGAACCACAGCCAGGGGAGCAGCAGGAAGCCTCCCAGAAAGAACCCGCGCGCGAGGCTCCGAGCCGCGTCGTCTGACATCCCGACGTCGCCGTCGACCGTTAGATGCCGCGCGGCCGTCGCGTCGGGAACGGCGGCCCGCGCCGGAGGCGCCATTGGCTAGAAGTAGACTCGGAAGTGAGAGGCCTTTCACGTAAGCATTCTGCAGTGGATTACGTGGGGAAATCGTGGCTAGGCAACCAATGTCCCGGGGAAGCCTGACCCGGATAAGCGTGTCCTACGGCTTCTGAAACGTTCCCTAGTCGAGTTTTAAGACGATGGAAAAAGCGTGTAGCGGGGGAAGCCGTGTCCCAGAGAAGCGGGGACTGCGGCTGACAGGCTGGCTCAGCCTAGGGAGTCTCTACGCGACAGGCTGCAGCGAGGAGAGACACCTTTCACAGCAACAGAGCAAGCGAGCGAGTCGCAGAAATAGGTCTCTCTGCTGCCTAGTTCCTTGGTCACATGGGGTGGCTGTTGTATGTTGAATGGCGATGCTCATTCATCAGTGCCAGTGGTCAGAAATTTGCACAGTTTTGAGGTCAGTTGGTGCACAAGCCTTGAAACAAGCCAGGAATACGCCCTCGAATACATTCGTGAGGTCAAATCCAACCTTCGTATTGGCCTTGTTCAGTAGGCGGACTGGCCTCCGCACAAAATGTCCTGGACAGTCTTTCCTAGAAAATTAGGGCGTATTCCTATCCTCCTATCAAGAAAACCTCCTATCAAGCTCTCACTGGAAAATTCCCTAAACCCCAAATCTCTCTCTACATTTACCAGGCAAAAGGTACAATCTTGATAGGAGGTTTCTTGATAGGAGGCCGTAGGAATACGCCCTTAGTGTAGCGTCCAATCAAAATTTTCACCATCTATGTTGCTACGAAGCCCCGCATAACCAAAGCCCCGCATAACTTGTGCGCTGGCTGATGCTTGCCCTGGAGGTTGAATCAGCCCCGCACTAGTTGTGCGACAGTTTGCCAGGCGAAGCAACTGCTTCGAACCAGCACCCAGTTAAATTTGTGCGGGTCAAAAGTGGTGCTCTGCAGGCAGAAGCGTCAAATTTGGCGCAATTAGGTTTGGCATCCACGCGCATATCACCAAACCTAGATAAGCAATTGATCAGTTATCATCCTTACTCTGCGAAACCAAATGCTGGAAATTGTCCGCCTACAGAACAAGGCCATTATTTCTGCCAGTGTAAGGAATGATGTTCATTATTGAAGCAATACTATAGAGAGTATATCTTAAGGGAGCTTGGTTCAGCTCGCTCGGCCACGAACCACTTCCGTGAGAAGAAACGAGAATGAATGAACTATGAAACAAGTGGGTACTGAGAAAGTGTGAACGAGAATGAGTGCACTATGAAATGAAGTGAGTACAAATATGAAACCCTAATTGGGTTGTACCCCCTATGGGATACCCCACTATAGCCTACAGAAACAAGTAAGCTATATGTTCTGACACACCCCCATAGGCAAAGTGGGGGAGAACAAGGGGTCACAAGACCAGTCAAGCAAAGCAATGCAAAGCTCAGGGTGGATCACAAAGTCACCACGCATTCCGAGCACAAGTTCAAAGGCCAGAAGGCCAGTTCACATGCAAGATCATATATAGAGATATACAAGAGTCAAGCAAGCAAGAGCAAGAGTATATATAGGCGAAGGTACAAGCAAGGTCAAGAGGAGAGCAAGTGAGGCAAGACAGGCTCAAGACCTAACTGCGTGCAACAACGCTGATGATCACAAGGCGCAAGTGCCTTGGTGAAGACATCAGCAGTGTTGGCCTCAGAGGCCACGTACGCAAGTCGCAACTGTCCACGCTGCTGTAGCTCACGAGCAAGAAAGTAGCGGAGAGCAATGTGCTTCGTTCTGTGCTCCAGTCGCTGCTCTCGACACAAGGCCAGCATGGCCTTGTTGTCTACGTACAGGACTGGAGGAGAACGAGGCTGCTCTCCAAGGTCGGTCAGCAGGTAGGTGAGCCAGCGTAACTCCTGTGCAGCCATAGCCCCAGCGTAGATCTCAGCCTCACAACTGGAGCCGAGAACAGAAGACGAGCGGGTAGCCCGCCACGAGACAGAGCCGGAACCAAGGCTGAAGGTGTAACCCTGTGACGACCGCTGCGTAGCCTGGTCGTCAGCCCAAGAAGCGTCTCCGTGCCCAGTGAGGACCACTGGACTGCGCCCTCCAAGCACTAGCCCCATGCCCGACGTACTGCACAAGTAGCGCAACACCCTCTTCGCTGCAGCCATGTGCTCTGGTCGGTGTCTCCCAGGAGCAACAAAGCGTGCGAGAATGCTAAGAGGGTATGCGAGGTCAGGTCGTGTGCAAGTCATCAGGTACATGAGGCAGCCAACAAGCTCTGCAAACGGGCCACTCGACTCTACGGACTCATCCGAAGGCAGAGCTGAGAGCGAGTGGCGAGTAGGCAGAGGAGTGGCCTGAGGCGAGGAGTACGTGAAGCCGAAGCGCTGAAGGACCTGCTGCACCATGTGTGACTGAGTCAGGGTAATCGTGCGGCGTGCTCTGTCCCGGGTGATCTGCAAGCCAAGGTAGCTGCGCAGTTCACCCAGGTCAGTGCACGTGTGTCTCTTCTGCAGCTCGGACTTCACGTAGGCGAGTCCAGCAGTGTCAGCTGTGGCAAAGACCAGGTCGTCGACGTACACGAGGATGTAGAACGGCGGCAGAGAGGTGTCGGTGCGCAGAAACAGCGACGGGTCGGCAGTAGAAGGAGCAAACCCAAGTGCCGCGAGCGTAGTCCTCAGTGTGTCGTGCCACTCACGTGGCGCCTGGCGGAGACCGTAGACTGGACGCCGAAGACTCCACTGGGTGCCAGGAGGGAAAGACCCAGTGAAGCCAGGTGGGCGACGCAGCCAGATCTCCTCGTGCAGGCTGCCCTGCAAGAAAGCTGTGCTGAAGTCGAGAGAGTGCAGCTCGTAGTCACGGTGAGCAGCAACGTGCAGCAGAACCCGAAGAGTGGTCATCTTCGGGGTGGGGGAGAAGGTCTGAAAGTAGTCAACCCCCTGCCGCTGACTGAAGCCACGAGCCACGTAACGCGCCTTGAAGACAGGCGGAGAACCCGGCGGCCGCTTCACCCTGAAAATCCACATGCCACTGACGATGTTCGCCCCAGGAGGGGGAACAGCGTCAACGTAGGTGCCTGTGGACTTCCAGGAAGCCATCTCTGCATCCATAGCTGCCTGCCACTGAGAGGAGTAGGGACCCTCTATCGCCTCCGCGTAAGAGCGCGGAGTCGGGATGTCTGGTGCATCCGGGTCTCCCTCAGGGGCTAGCAGTACAGACGCAAGACGAGGTGAAGCGGCGGCCAGACACTGGAACTCCTCCTGCCTGTCCTCAAGGACGTCCGTGCCAAGGGCACACTCACCCCCGACGGACGGAGGACAGGCGGACTTAGACTCAGTGACAAGACGAGCAGCGTAGTCTAGACGACAGCGCGCAGCAAAGTCGACAAGCTCAGTGACAAGGGCAGACGCAGCAGACGACTCGAAGGAAGGGTCAGTGACAGCAGTAGCAAGGAGACGCGTGACAGTAGGACTGGCAGCACGAATAGAGTCCGACTCCGGGTCGGCAAGAGCAGGAAGAGAGGAAGCAGGAGGAGAAGGCAAAGGGGCACGCAGAGGA